GAGGCGCTGCTGGGGACGCCGGACGAAAGTGTTGCACTGAAGAAACGAGCTCAGCAGCAGCACGCAGATTCTGCTTTGGTGTTCGCGCCTGATACCTCTTGACGTTGGTTCGGCTGCCACAGTGTGAGCGCTACTGGCACTGTTTCGCGGGCTGCCGTCAGTCAGACTGCAGGAGACAACTAGATTTCCTAATGTATTATTTTAAAATGCAGTAACACACACACAATACGTGGAGAATCATCAAGTCACGTAATAAATCACTCGAGGACGATTCAAAATTCAAGCACCGGCGGCAACAACGCGAGCAGATAGGAATTAAATTGCCGACATGTACAATTATGAAAAGAACAGAATATGTAAATACTTCCTATTATTCAGTTCCGTGCAATTTGTTGAACACTGAAAATCAGTTCATCCTACAAAACAATTATTTTGCCTTTAGAAACACGGGTTCTGTTCTGAGGGCAGAACGTAGATTACGGGGGTTTCAGAAGCAGGCGACTTGTAAAAATACATGGACCTGAGAATGCTGAAGTGAGCCCTCTGATTAACGCGAAGCCCGCAGGAAGTGTCCAGCACGAGGAATCAAAGAACGCAATCACAAATTGAGTGTGGAAACCGGAAACATCTTGTAACAAGGCCACTTGGCTCGCAATCGCGCGTGAAGGCCAGCAAAGCAATTGGCGATAAAACACTTTTCGTCGTACGTACTTCAGGTTGGGCACGGCTCGCACGCCACAGCTCGAAGAAACCTCGTATTGACGGTCTGAATTAAAACTGTTTCGACGTGCGCATTTGCCAGAGGCATCTCGAAAACGGATTATGATTTGAAAGCAGCCCCCAGTCGAACCTGCGACAAACACTTGAAGCATTTAAAGGGGTAGGCGTCGGCCAGCGACTCACAGATACATACCGACGTTTCGGAGACACACCCTCCATCTTTACGGCTGACGACCCATTTAATTCTCTGTGGTGATTTACAGACGCTCTATTTTACGAGTACTTTTCTTTAAAGTTTCAACATTATCGCAGGTGTGTACAGAAACACGCCAAGCCGCTCTGTCGCCAACCAGTTTCCAGTAAACAAGTGTATTAAAGAGAGAGCAAGCGAAACTGAGTCTGAAACCGTGTTTATGAAATCTGGTGATAAAGACGGCGATTGCGTAAATTTTATTTCAGTTCGCTCCAGTTTCCTTTGTGAATAACAAGATAAGTAGGTAAGAGTTCATGAATAAATCTCGTACACTGACGTTTTTACATCATCTGCGACGTATTTGCTGCTCTTATGCACGCGATAATTTTGGGATCATCTACGTCGTGGCCTGTAACGCGAGCTGCGTATTGCGCTGAATTTCTTGTTGTATAACCCGGGACAATTCAGGGTACAGAGAGACAGAGAACGCACGTGGAAGCTGCGCATTCCGGAATCGGCCGAGATCTTCCCATTACCGCCTCATTCCGACGATGCAGTCCTTAAGTTCCATTTTCCACTGATGTTCCGCGGTCTCATACAAAAGTCGAGGAAGTTTAAAAAAGTCCAATATATTGGGAATCATATTTCGGGCCAAGCGCCTGTTCGGCAGGCGATTACAAGGGACGAGCGAAGTTAAAATTGCTCAGGAAACGTTTCAAGTCGTTCCCTGGTATTACTCAGGCCGAACTCCGTCCAGATTTTAAACTTCGTCTTCCCTCCAGACGCACAGTTTTTAACTGCGCAATTCCGACGCGCGCAGTTAAAAACTGTGCGCGGACCAACACTGTTCGTCAAACGGAATTCATACGGCTAGACTTTGAGTCTCAAGATAATTGGTAAATAAGCAACGCATCTGTCCGAGACATTCGCACGTCACATCTGCTTTGGTCGGCGATAACAGAAACGCTCTGTCAGTTTTTATTCGCAAACTCCGATTTGCGTTAAAATGCAACCCGCCTGTCCGTTCCCCACAGATGGCTCGGGTTATCGGACAGCGTCCTTGACACTGGCACAGCGTCACAGACGCACAGGGGCTGCCATAATGGGCGCTCTGAAACGCTGATAACAGTGCCTTCAGACAGAAGCCAGGAGCAACTTCGTGTGGCGGTCCATGTAGCTCCTCGTCGCCATGGAAAGCGGACACGGACCTCAGAGGAATCTGCTCACGCGCCAGGTACATCACGTGGTCACATGTGTTACGAGAACATAACCTAACGAGAGTCTACACGTTGCACATTGTCATTACCATCATTATAATCTGCTGCGTCAGCTGTGTGTTCCGGGGTCTTCCGTCTGTCAGTCTGCGTTGCCACTGGCTGCGGCAAAAGTAAGGCGAGGTAGTTCAGAGCAATTCCCGCCTCTACCAACTTCCACGTAGCACAAATTCTCCTTCTTTCTTCTCCTCCTACCACATCCGCCTGATTCAATTAATTCGTATGAGAACAAACGGGGATTTAAACCCCAGGCGCCTCACGCAAGCTGCCACACTGACGATAAAGTGGTCAGTTACATGAGGCTTTTCAATCAAGACCTGACAGTACGTCCCCTATCACGATTTTACGCTAAATGCCCACGCCACGGAGACTCCTTTTGATAAGGCGCAATAATCCAGACCGTTTCCTGCGAGCAGAAGACTCGATTTCACTCTCAATTACGTCCTAGGTCCTCCGTCCTCAGCGTGACGTAACAGAGGGCTGATGCCGCGAGGACAGAGCAGTGACGCACATCACAAAATTTATAGGAATCGGCCATCGTACAGTCGGGCTCAAGAGTCGCATGACACACAAGTAAGATCGCGTCTTAGCGCCCAGAATTTCTCTTGCAGCTGGTCGTCAGCCTCGTGGCCGCCTCCAGCACCATCGCCTCGGGGATGAGCCTCGGGTTCTCGGCCATCGCTCTCCCTGAACTGCTCAGAAGGGACAGCGCCGACAAACTGGACATCGACCAGGCCTCCTGGTTCGGTATGACGTCACATGTCATGTACCTATAGCGTGCGTTTGTCGCCGCTCACTTGTTCGCTCAGTTCCGCCTGTCCGCTGTTTCAGCCAGCGTCGCGTCGATCGCCACCCCCTTCGGGTGTTTACTGTGCGGTCCGCTCCTGGACCACTTCGGACGCCGGATCGCTCTGCTGGCCCTCAACGTGCCCTTTGTCCTCGGGTGGTTCACCCTGGCCCTCACGCCCAGCCCCACGAGCACGCCCCTGCTCTACCTGGGCAGAATTCTCACCGGCATAGGTAAGTGCTCCCCAGTACAGGTCAAAGGCTCACTTCCACCGTGCAACGAAGCCTGTGCCAGAAACATGATGACGTTCCCTAAATGGTTAACGCTGTGTTCGTCAAAACTGCCTGTTCGCGTAACCGCGTTAAAGTTGTAAGTAAAAACAGGGTAGGTCTTGGCCTCCTCGAGCTTTCACAACAAGTGATTTTTACCAGGCTTCCGTATTTATATCCCCCGGAGGCTGCGTGGTGCAGCTATACCCCCAGACCCCAGTCGCCTCCTACGACATGCATGGGCTGCAGTGGGGCTATTCTTATTCTCCGACCACCGCACGCTTATTTTAATTATTCACTTCCTGTCCCAGTGGACGCGGTCAGACATCTGCATCTTCTTGTTTCGTTCTGGCGCACCAGGAACTGGCATGGCCAGCGTCCCCGCCTGCGTCTACATCGCCGAAGTGACAGACCACTCGCTGCGGGGGATGCTGGTCACGTGGCCCTCCATCGGCATCTCCGCCGGCATCCTGGTGGTCTACACCCTGGGCGCCGTCCTCAAGGACAACTGGCGTCTGGTGGCAGCACTGGCCGCCGCCTTCCCGATCTTTACCGCCGTGTCGACGCTGCTGCTGCTGCGCGAGAGCCCGCTGTGGATAGTCTCTGAGGGCCGCGGCAGAGGACAGTTTGAGCTCGGGGCCACGTCAGACCGTCAGGAGCCCGACAACAGTTCGAGGAAGGCGGGTCTCTGGCGCACCCTGCGCCTACCGCAGGTCTGGAAACCGCTGTTCGTGTTGAACGCCTTCTTCTTCTTCCAGCAGTTCTCAGGCATATACGTCGTCGTGTTCTACGCGGTGGACATCGTCCTGCAGGCGGGCGTGTCCGTCGACGAGTACGTGGGGACGGTCCTGCTGGGGGTGGTGCAGCTAGTGGCGGGAGTGGCGGTCAGCTTCGCGCTTACCAGGTCTGTGGACTGCGCAAATTACAGGCGCACGCCGTCGTGACACTGTAGCACTGAATCAAGGCTACTGATTTGCAGGTGCGGGCGTCGACCCATGTCGCTGCTGTCCGGCGCCGGGATGACTGTCTGCATGCTGGGCCTGGCCGCGTACCTTCACCTCGTCCCGAACGGCTCGAAGACCGCCCTCGGCAACCCGCATCTCGCCACCATCCCGTTCGTCCTCCTGCTGGTCTACGTGGTACGTGACGCCCGTTCACACACGCGCGCGCGCATGCCAGGAAAAATCAGACCCTCGCTTTGTCATTCCGTTTGCGTCAACAGGTTGCGGGGGCGATAGGCTTCCACACGCTGCCATGGGCGATGCTGGGCGAGATGTTCCCGCCACGCGTGAAGGGGCTGGCAGGCGGACTGACGACCTGCTTGGCGTACGTGTTCAGCTTCGCCGCGCTCAAGATGTACCCCTCACTGCTGCTGCTCTTAGGGGGTGATGCCGCTAACCCGAAGACATCGTCATCAGAGGGCGTGTTCTATTTCTACGGCGCGGTGTCGCTCGTCGCGACGCTGTTCGTGGCGCTGTTTCTCACAGAGACTCACCGCAAGACGCTGCAGCAGGTGGAACAGGAGTTCAAGACTCGGCCGCTCTGGGGCAAACACTAGACGACGGCCTCGTGTTGACGCACGAAACTGCGCTGATGAGCAACGTTACCTCCGGAAGAATTGCCAAGAACTGACAGGGAGATGGTTCTTTGTCTTGCAGATTGATTTAACAAATTTCGATTAAACTTGGTTTCTGTGGTTCTCTTTGGACCGAGTTTATATTAAGGTACAGTCGGCCGTAACCGGCTCACTGACAACAAACAGACACAAGACGTATAATTACGAATTATTTCTGGATGTGACGTGTATTTAAAGAACATTTCATTTCAATTAAAATAAAACAGATTCAGTCGAAGGAGTTTTCATGAACTGAAGATGGTCGCTGTCTTCTGCGTCGATCTTCTGGCTAAACCCACGCGAGCGATCCGATTCTTCATTCTCATCACTCTAACCATGCAAATGGAGGCAGTATGTTCCTCCGAAGTTAATGCTCTGTTAAAAGCAAAACCAGTCCGTCAAGATGTTCCATTGTGACCACAGTTGTCAGATGCTAGCAATCATGTCCCTCCGCGCCCCATACGTCTGCAGACACAAGGGAAGTTTCGTACTTGCCACTGCGACCTTAACATCGGGCGACCCACGGGCTGGAAACCGCCGTCCCCGGTCGATTAGCTGGAGGTTACCGTCGGGTGCTGTCGCCTAGTGCCAGCCCGCGACACTGTGTCACGGTCACGCCATGGCCTCAGCTGGCTGGATCAGTACGTTCCATTCTGTGGTGTCGGTCGGAGCAGAACGGAGGTTAGGTCCACAGATCCGTCTCTCAGCGCCTCGATCGGTGAGTACACACACACACAACACATCTGCCAAGGTTCGGTGCACAGAAACAGACGAACGATTGTCACTGTAGCCTGAAAGAAGTACAACTCTGCGCCCGGTTCACAGTGGTTAGGAGGCCGTGTGCACCCCGGAATCCAACACGAAGTCACAGTCTGTCTCAGGTTACGTTGTGCTAGGGTAGGACGGGGTACAAGCGTCACATTGCTTCCTTTTACGCGAATCACGAGAATGAGACGTGCGGAGATTGGAAATGCGAAATATGAAGACCGGATACGAACTATGGACACTGTGATGCTCCTTTCGATTCCACAGAAGGCGGGAAATTTATTCAGTAGTTGATCACACTGCTTGCTTCTGAAGGAGGACTGTTTTCGCGCCTACCTCATCAACCCTCTGAAGCCGAAGCTCGTCTAAATGTTATTTAAGAACGCAGTCCGTACCGCGAAGAAAACACAACGCCTCACCATTACGAAGATCAGCTGGTTAACGCTGTTTAAGGAAATAATCGATGTTTATTACGAGAATCATACGCAAAGTTGCTGATTGATTAAGCAGGTGGTACAATAGTTAGCACAGGTGTTGAAAGAATCAATGACTCTTCTCATACAGCCTTTGCATTGTTATTCATCCTCTACAATAGAAATTGCGTAGAACACAAGTCACAAAACATCCAACAGTCTTTGCTGTAGCATTAGAATTTCACGAGATAAAATTTGGAGCTTCGCCGTCGTGCCCCTTGGAGGCAGAGAGTCCTTCATCGCACTTTGCTTACAAATTTGCCTTTGCGCCAGGTATGGAGGTCGTGGAGGTAAAGCGGCGCCCAGCCCCAGTCTGCCTGTGCCTTAAATGTTATGACGGTTCAGACACAACAGAAACAACGCACTGGGCCGTCGTTTTATCGATTGTCGCGCGGGTGAACGGCCTGCTGACGTAACGCAACACGTGTTGCATCTCCGACATTACTCAGGGAATTTAACGTCGATCCGCAATTTCAACTCGCCGTCTCCTGCACATGCGCCTTTCATCTTCCCGTGTCTTCGGCAGGAAGACCGCGGTCCAGTCCGCCTGGTCCATGTTTCCGTCCGACAATCGTATTTACGCTGTGTTGCTTGTTGCAGACGACATGAGCGGCGGGGTGGACGTTGCTCCGGTGGGCTCCCCAGCGACCACTCCACCCGCTGGAGAGCCCCTCACGCAGTTCTTCCACCAGAGCCCGGGGCACTGCTGCACGTCTTTCGCGGCTATCAACATGATGCGGCAGAACGCGCAGGTGAGGGGCCGGAGCCTCGCCCGGTGCCCCCGAAAGGGACAAAGGTCAAGGTGTGATATTTGGCTCATTAGAGCGCGTCCCTGGAGACCGAGCCAAAGGTTGGCAACACTTGTCTGAACCTTGGTAATGAACCGTGTTGCAGTTTTCTCCAGTCACCGCGCACGCGTCTCATCTGACAGGTCCGTTGTGTCTGGCTACGAACTCACGGCCCCTCGAACCTGTCGGCAGCCGTAAGCGAATCTCTCAAAGTTCTGAGGCACACGCCCTGAGCTCCCTCGTTCATTTCTGCCGGAGGCAAATGAATCCTTTACAACGTTAAGCGACGTAAACGTTTACTGTCCGCGGCTTATTTGCGGCAAGGTTCGGACTGGACGGGAGACGCCATCTTCTGCACCAGACCGCAGGGCAAAATCATAATTGAAGGGCAACTGGGGAGACCTAGGCGTAGATGGTAGGATAATATAAAACGGATCTCACGGAAATCGGGGTGCTGATTGGATTCATCTGGCACAGGACAGACACTGGCAGCGGTGTCGTGTAGACACGGTAATGAACCTTTGGCATCGAATGACAATCTTATGATAATGAAGTGGTCAGGATACGGAAGGAAGCGATCATGACGTAGTCTAAGGTTCTATTCCCCCGGCATCCGCCTAGAAAGACTGGGGAAAATCACGAAAAATTCCTTTATAATGGTGATGCGTCAGTCAGTAAGCAACCTCCTGTGCCAGACACCATAGCCTCGACGTCCCAGAAGACTGCCATCTTCAGGTTTCTTCTGTTTCAGCTCTGTGACGTGGTGCTGAAGATCGGCGTCGACTCCATTCGCGCCCACAAGGTGGTGCTGGCGTCGGTCAGCCCGTACTTCTACGCGATGTTTAACGGTAAGTTGACGCACCACGCCAAGGTTCTGAACCTGCGGCCCGCGAATCGCATCAGAAATTAAACCCGATATCGAGAGGTTCACGCATTTCGCTGATGACGACCTGGTCCTCTGGGTTTCTCTCTCGCAGACGACATGGCGGAGAAGCTGCAGGAGGAGGTGACGCTGCACGACGTGGACGCCACGGCGCTGCAGCTGCTGGTGGAGTACTCTTACACGGGCGAGATCCTCATCACAGAAGACAACGTGCAGGTGCGAGACGATAAGCAACTTCCGGCGCATGCTAAGTGACGAGTCTCTCGACACCTCGCCCTCTTTGGCTCCACTGTTGCAGGTCCTGCTGCCTGTTTCCAGCCTCCTGCAGATCAGCTCGGTGCGAGAGGCCTGCTGCAAGTTCCTCATGAGACAGCTCCACCCCTCCAACTGCCTCGGCATCCGGAGTTTTGCAGGTACAAAAACTTTCTCAAGTCCAACTAAGAGGCTTTTCATGCCGCCTGTAGGAATGCAATTTGCAACACGACAGGCGATGTCACGCCATGGTTAAAATCTGACTGGTATTTCTCCGGCATCTGAAGCTGTTAAGTAACTCAAAGAACGCGAAGTACGGAGCGCGTGCTTCCGAGCAAGTGAACATTTGCCACGGCCGCCTTCAATTAATTACGTTTTGCGGCGTTTATTTGGAAGAGCCCTGTCGAGGGAGGGGGCGAAGGGATGAATAAGACCCGGGCATTCAGGGGTTCAGAAGCCTCCACCCCAAAACAAACATCCTTTTGACGTCTCTGAATTAGGCGCGCCAAGGTCACGTGTTGTTAGAGAAAAGAGGTCCGTGGGGTAGACGCGGCTCAGTCATTTTGTACAGACCGAGGTGAGAGGAGGCGGCCGTGGCTTTTCTCCAGGCACGACGCCGGAATTAGCTCGGACGTAAAACCACGAAAGACGTCAGCTCGCCACTCGGCCAAGCGCAGTCCCGGAAAAGGCTTTCGGCCAAGACTGAGTAGACGGTAATTCTGCCTGTCGAAACTGTTTCCTAGCAACGGTATCATGGCGAGGGAGAAGCTGATGAAAGATGGTGGAACTTGGTTGCAGATGCGCATGCGTGCAAGGAACTGCACCGCCGGTCGCACCGGTTCGCCCTGCAGAATTTCCAGGAAGTGACGGGCACAGAAGAGTTCCTGCTGCTTCCATTCAGCGAGGTAAGAGCGCTTCGCCCCCGCCCGGCCGGCCGGAACCCGCATTGTTCTGCATTCATCAGAATGCGGAGGGGAAGCAGGAAGCTGCAGTGGCAACTTCGTTTTCGAACAGACGAGCTCGCGTTTGTGTAAAAGCCATCGTAATGGCACAGTCGATGACGCAGGTGGCTGTGATACCACGCGGCCACACCTTGGCTCTTGTGCGACGAGAGACAGGGCACGGCGTTTCTAGAGACTGACGCCTGCAGGCGTCTGATGGCTCATAAACTGGGACGAGGCGCCTGGCGTCCCCGAAATGCGATGCTTTATTACCGAGGACGAGGATAATTAGTAGAGATACGAGCAGATGGAGGACGAAAGGCGCGATCTACTTAATCACGGAGAATATTCGCCGGAAAGTGATGATCAGGGCGAACAGAACAACAGGTGGTTTTTACGACTGCCTCACAAACACACAAATGATCACGTGTGTTCACAGCACAAAAGTTGGCAACTTTACGTGCAATTAAAATCGACGACACGTCGGAATGACCCACAGTAAAAGCGCGAAGCCGCCCTCCGGTCGGACCAGGACGTCGTGTGGTCGATCTTCCTGACCGAGCGAGCGAGCGAGCGAAGGAGCAGGAAAACGTTAACGGAAACAAAAGAAACACGGAGTAAACTTACGAGTGCTGACCCGCAGCGTTACGCGGACCACAAATAGAGAACCGCCCTGGCAAACAGGAGCCCCTTGAGGGGGGGGGGGTCCTAAGGGATATTGACTCTAGACCCTACACACACACAAAATCTTTTTTTTAATGGAACACTACCACACACGGGCAAGGGGCAGTCACCCCAGAAAGTGGACCGACACAGTAAGCCGGCATCGCGACGCCAGATCAATAGCGTCCCAGACAGGCGCTGACCTCACGCGGGGGCTGACATCAATGACCGATAACAGAACCCGCAGTCACTCTCAGCAGCTTCATTAGACATTCACAGTGGTACAATCCGTTCCCATATAATACTCTGTCTCTTCCAAGTAGAAATTTTTCAGTCTTGAAGATGGAGGCGAAATATCCATCCGAAACGTATGTATCTTCCCACAAATCCACACGACATCGCAACCCAGAAGACCAACAGCGACATCTTCACAGTCTCACTTGTCCAAGAGGTTTCCCCACTAAAACTCTGTGTGGATTCCTTGTCTCCGTATCCTAGGCTACGCGCTCAGCCCATTATCCGAAATCACAATGCCGCGACTTGCGTTCTTCGCACAAAGTAAGAGACCACGTGTGATAACCATACAGAACAAGTGCTAAAATTGTTTTCACGTGGGATTCGTTCACTTTTAGAAAAATTAAAATGCTCACTCAGACGGAAAGGCGATCATCGTCTCGCGGTGGTGGGAAAATGTGCAAGGACGAGTCTGGTTGAACGCCTCAGACGCGGATGCGACGGGTCTCGAGAGGCAGAACACAGCATCCAAGCGCTGCAGAGGGCACGTGTGGAGCCGAGAGATCCGCGCCGACAGCGTTAATTGGCTGGGCTAGTGAGGAGGCTCGTCGGAAAACAGGGGCACGGAATGCGTGTCGTCACCAGAACGCAGGGCAAAATCGTAATACAATTAATAACCCCCTCCCCCCTCAAATGTGGCAAAGTTCAAGTTTTCCTCAACGACAGTAATGACGAAGTTTGAGCAAAATAAATTCTGACAGGTCTCGGTGCGTTCAGCTCAGAATTCTTCGTCTTCAAATCTCACGTCTCAAACGGGCTCTTATGACAACTACTGTTGCAGGTGGAGGGGCTCGTCTCAAACAGCCAGCTGAACATCGCATCGGAGGAAAGGGTCTTCACCGCCGTCATGAACTGGGTCAATCACGACCTGGCCGACAGAGAGCAGCACGTTGCCCAGGTTGGTTCGTCTTCCGCCCGCCCGCATCGCCCTAACCGCAAACTCCGTGTTGCAGCTAATGCGACACGTCCGCTTGCCGCTGGTGGCCCGCGACTTCCTCATGAGCTACGTGGACTCGGAGGCGCTGGTCCGTGAGAACACGGAGTGCAAAGAGCTACTGCTGGAAGCCATGAAGTACCACCTTCTTCCCGAACAGAGGTCAGCACTGGCCACGGAGCGCACCGTCGAGCGACGTCCAGAGGGAATGCGGCCCTACTTGTTTGCTGTGGGTACGTGAGACACCCTGTACACTCCCCATGTTTATAAACCTCCCACACACACGCGACTTCAATGTATTTAATTTCAGCTGGAAATTCTGCGGCCCATTGCAACGCCGTGTAGTCTGGTATAAGTTTGCCAACGTTTCAGAGGTCCTTGCTGCCTCCATCATCAGGCGATGATTAAGTCAGTCTACCAGACTACGCGGCGCTACAAGCCAGAAGACAGCCATCTTTGTAATCATTGCCGGTTCCTTGCGTCCTCCACCCCTGCACCTTCATCCCCTGCCATGAACGACCATGCGAACTTCTGCCTAATGTTGTCGACAGGTGGCGGGTCCCTGTTCGCGATCCACAGCGAGTGCGAGTGCTACAGCCCGCGGACTGACCGCTGGTTGCCAATCGCGCCCATGGTTTACCGGCGCAGTCGAAGTGGGGTCACCAGCCTGGGCAAGCTGCTCTACGTGGTGGGCGGGTGAGTCCTCTGACGGCGCCTAGGCGCTCCGGCTTTGAGCGGTGCAGACGCTAGACTCTCGACTCTAGACTCGTGGTCTGACACGCAGGTACGACGGCGCCTCTGACCTCGCCTCCGCCGAGAGCTACAATCCGCAGGTGAACAAGTGGACCGCCATCACCCCGATGGGCACCAAGAGGAGCTGTCTCGGGATCTGCGGCTTTGACGGGCTGCTTTACGTGTGTGGGGGGTACGACGGCGCGTCGTGCCTCAGCAGCGTGGAGCGCTACGACCCGCTGACGGGGGTCTGGAGCTCGTGCCCCGCCATGACCATGCGTAGGCGCTATTGTCGCGTGGCTGTTGTCGGTAAGAGATCGCGCCTCTTTGCTCGGGGACGTTGTGTATCAACACATTAAGAAATAGCGAGCCCTACACTGCATTCACACACGTCCACATTCAAAACATATGAATATTAATTATATTAATGGAGTCCCATCCTTCACGAAATTTTTTCCACTAAAATGTTCTTTTCCCAGAGAACTGCGTGTATGCGCTCGGAGGATTCGATTCCACCAATTATCAGTCAAGTGTTGAGCGGTTCGACCCGCGAATGGGGCGGTGGTCCCCGATGCCATCTATGAGCAGTCGACGCAGTAGCTGTGGCGTGGCCCCGCTGGATGGGGCTCTGTACTGCATTGGTGGGAATGATGGGACCATGTGTATGTCCAGTGGGGAGAGACTCAACATCAGGAGGAATGCCTGGGAGCCGATATCAGCCATGAACTCGAGAAGGTAAGCGCCTGCTCTGAGACAGGACACGTCTGGTGATGTCAGCAGCGTCTAAGGGGCGAATGCCCACTGATATAGGTAATGCCTTCTGCACGCAGGTCTACGCACGAGGTGGTGGAGATTGAAGGCTGCCTGTACGCTGTTGGAGGGAACGATGGAAGCTCTTCGCTTAACTCTGTGGAGCGGTTTGATCCGAAACCCAACAAGTGGACACTGGTGACATCTATGCTGACTCGTCGCAGCTCTGTAGGAGCTGCAGTACTCGAATGCCTTAATCTAGAGAAGGGGATTGCAGCCGCTAAAAACATGTGACTACGGTGGCTGACTTCCATGTGTCTGTGTGTACAATAATTCAGAACTGACGAAGACTTGTCAGGTCCTGTTCTCTACATGCAAACAGTGCCCAGAGTTTGAAAATGACAACCTATACATTTCAAAATTACTTTAAACATGAGGTTTCACTTCCCAGTTATCAGACTGGTGATGCTGATACATAACATTAGCCAACCTACAACCAACAGTGTTTTCAAAACAGTCATCCCTGAAAGGACATTTATAAAATAGCATGTCACATGACTAAATGACAAATCAGGAAGAGTTCCATCTGAAGCGGTCATGAACTATTTCATGGCATTATTCCAGCACGTGCCTGGAGGGACTGAGTAAAACACAAAAACCTGGCCTTTCAGCTGAGTTCCTGCCACAGAGGACAGGCTGACCTTCGAAGCACGAGCAATGTCACAGGTTGAAGACCAAACAGGACTTGACAAGGGCACCTTGCAGTCTGAGAACATCATGGGGCATGTCCCCAATACACTGTATTCACTGCCAGAACCAGATGGAAAGTACGGCAAAGTGCACCGACAGTTTCCGAGACATGACACGCAGAATGAAAGACACCTTAGCCGAGCACAGAACAACAGCACCCCATGGCGAACAATCTTTCGGATGATTAAGAGATTTCCTGCTTTAACTGAATTCAAAGAAACATCACTGCTGGACCAATTCACATATCAAAAATCTATTTCTCTTTGATCCACTAATTGTATCCTCTCGTTTATATTCAGGTGCTCCGCCAAGAATTTAAATACCAAAACTTTGTAAACATTTCGTGTTTCCTCTTTACGAAGTCTCCGGAATGAGAAAGTGCTCTCTCCTTTGTCATTTAATCACGCTGAACACAAGTAGCAGTGCTGCCAACACTGAACAAGTCAGTGTACTTTGCCTTCTTTAAGCGTAAGTGTTATTACACGGGGGGACCAATGACATGCAAAGAGGTGCCATGCCTGTGTGACACTGGTGCTCAGTGCACGAGGACAGACAAAAGAGCGCGCACCTGACGAGAGACAGGCCGGAGCAAGGTGCCGGTTCACCCTGGCATCTTAAAAGCGAGAGCCAGTATTTTTGTATCACTTTCCGAGTTGCACGTACAGACTTTCACTCTGTGATGCGAGGAACGTGAAACGACAAAGGGGCGTCTGACACTGCAATGGAGACCGCAGTTCTCCATCCGCAGTTCACTGTTATTTTTGTTACTTAAGACAATCAGCAACTGAAAGACGACTGATAAATAATTATCAGGTTATTTAATGAATATTGGTCAGGATAAACAGTGACCCGGCTGCTAGACCAGATGACGCTCGTTTTTGGTTGCTTGGGGTCTGAAAGAATTAACTTAGACTCTGACTTGAAGCCAGCACACAAGATACGATCCGAGTTCTTCGGTTCAGTAATGAGCGACTGTCAACTTGCAGTGAATGGGAGAGGCTCTGTCCAGGCAGAATGGAGACATCCACCTCACAAAACCTTGCCTTATGTGAACAACACTGCCATCATTAAAGTAATCCTCCCCCTCCTTTGCAAAGTGCCATCTACCCCTCAAGTCTATAAAACAGAATTGCCATCACTAGCTCTAGTCTGTTCTGTTCTGTTCTGTAAATTAAAAACAATAAAAATTGTGTTCCTCAATTTATTACGTGCTTCGTATCACATCCATCTGTAAACTCGGACAAAAATTATGGTAGTGCCAGCCTGGGTTCAGCATCCACGTGGAATTTCCGTTGGACCAGGGCAGGTGCCTCTCAAAGTAATTGCTTCAGGTATCCCATGCCACAGGTGCCCTACGAAGGCACGCGACACAGAATCGCCTCTGACCCTGCACTTGGCTCGACTCAGGGTAAGGAAATTAACTCGCAGTTATTATCGGTCAGTCCGGGGAATAACTTGCGAATGGACCGACTCTCTGCCAGCTGCTCAGATCAAGATATTCAAAAGGTTTGTGGCACAGTCAGCCTTTCTGATGCAGAAAGTGGGATGAGCAAGATGATTATGATTTGTGATCTATCTGATGAGACCACAGGGGCAGAGAGAAACCATAAGACAACCTATTACGGCAAACCTAACCTATCCCAGGAACACGAAACACAGTGGACGGATCATTCACTCAACAAGAGGCACTTGCGTTCAGCTCCTGGTTCCAAACCTCACTGGCTACGAGGCTGCAGGCAACAGCGGATAAGGAAATCTCAGCTCAAGGTATGTGACAGGTTGTTTAGTGACA